TTCGGTTTAATGGTGCCTAATCTATGGCCTGTGTTCACTGCAGGCCATTCCTGGGATAGGGGAAGATAATGCAATGTCAGCTCACGTACCTCATATGCACCATGAGCAATGTGACATTATTATTCACACTGTAGTTTGCTTTACAAATATCCTGGCATAATGTAATATTCTTTGAACTGTAGCCTGTTTGTGAGGAAGCATACCAAATTATTACAAAATAGCTGTGTTTTGAATGATAAAAGTTAATGTTATGTGATTCACAAAGTTTGCAGAAATGTTCTGGGGCAGTTTCAGTGTAAAATGTGACTCTAATCTGCAGGCAGACCACTTGCCCCCGGCAACCTCTCTGTCCAAACTTTTTGACAGCGTCACCTGATGTAGCAGGAAAAGGTTCCTAAAATAGGAACATAGGAAGTTGCCTGAGTCAGACCATTAGTTCATCCAACTCTACACTGACAGCTGCTGTCCAGAATTTGGTTTTAGTTGTAGGGAAGGTGTAACATGGGGTCTATAGACTGCATAATACAGCTTCAATCTAGCCAGGGGAGAACCGAATGTTTGAACAATCTCCCACATTGAAAGGCACCTGCACAGGAATACGTATGCATCCCTCTTCCTACATGCAAACATAAGAAAATGATGTTCTTGAGTTTTTGGTTTTTAAATTCAGAAAGTTATGTACAAGCAAGAGCAATTAATTTCCTTCTGCCAACTGCTGAACAACAACGTTTGTATCTTCTGAGCCTGCTCAATGTGAGTTTTGGCTCTAAGCCATGATATGATATATTTGAAAAGGCAAAAGCAGGACTTTAATTTCCCACCGTTGTTCAGATCCTATTTTTTAAAAGAAATGCTAAAGGAAAACTATTATTATTATTATTATTATTATTATTATTATTATTATTTTGTTTAACATTGACAGAGAGAGGAATATGTAGCTCTACAAATGCTGAATACAATTCCATGGTTGCTCATCACTGCCAAGTTGGATTGTTGCAAACTATTTCATCCCCAAGAAGCCAATTTCTATCCTAGAAGAAAAGAAGGAGCAGTGGGAAAAACACAGGAAGATATAACATCCTCTCTGGACCTTAAAAGTCCATAAGTGGGATAGAATCCTTGCACATAAAAGACCCTACTGGAAGCAGTCAATGTTATAAGGTTGGTAAGTATCAATCAATCAATCAATCAATCAAAATTTATTTATGGTCCAAGACCAAACCCATTGATCAGTATGATAAGACCAGTTAAGCTAGAACTACTTGAGTCAAATACAACCAGCTTTCAATATCTAGCATCTCCTCTGGTTTTGATCAACTGTGCTTTGCTGCCAAGAACCAAAAGACAAGGGAATTATAACTTACCTCCCAATCCACAATCCTTGATTGGTGAGTGGCATTGCTTGATGGATCAAATCTTGTGAAGGTCTGGGACAGAGACACCAAGAAGATGCTGCTAGGAATCAAATCAGCAACACATTTCTCCTCTGAGAACTCTAATCCAGCTTCTCCTTCTTCGACTGCTTTATAATAAATCAGCCCCAGAGCATTGGTCTGTTAGTCCAAGGTTTCCTATTCTGTCCAGCAGCAGTTTCTAAGATCTCCATTTGAGATGTTTTGACAGCTCTGCCATCCTTTTAATTAAAGGCGTTAGGGACTTAACTTTATGCTGTCTGCATGCCACACCATTAGTAGAGTTCACTGGGAGTTTTGCAATATATAATATCATTGTAATGACACCACCTGAAACTTTGGAGAGAGAGGTTTTTCATGCATTTTGCATCCCTGTGTTTTCTACTCTTACTTGAAGAATTTTTTAAAATAATATTTAATGTTTTTTTTGAAGAATGATATCAGAAAAACAATTTTAAAGTAATCAGAATGGCCATATCAATATTTATTGAAATACTGGAAATAAAAATCCATTAGTGTTGAGAAAATTCCTGGCAAGGACTGACATGAGACAACATGAACGTCACAGATACATTCAGAGAACTTCAACAAGTAACTAACTGCACAGTTTAAAGGGTTGCATGGATTCAAATGCCAGGTAGCTGTGGAACATATTGGTAATACAAATATTCAGACGCTACAGGTTGTCTGATTACAAACACTGAAACAACGATAAGAAACCAGCCAAAGCCAAAACCTTTGCATTTTAGTCTGCTTTTACTAATATGTAATCAATAAAGCAACTGTAAGTTAACTGTCTTGTTACAAAGTGGTTAACAATTAACATTCATTTTGCAAACTTGGGCAATCAGATGAGTTCCTGGAACCTCCGATGTTGGCTAATGTGTGTGAAAATTTATTTGTGACTTTGCCCAACAATCATTCTTGGCCCTTAATATCCAGGTGAATGATCTGGTTGTGTCCACTGAAAATTGTGCTCTGTTAGTGGCATTAGTCTGTTTTCAGCTTTGAAGTGAAATCTGCCATGGTGTTTCAACAAAAAAGTTAAGGATTTTACAAGACACCCATGTGAAAAATCTGAATTAAATCATTTTATAATCAACCTTAAATACCACAGATGATTACTTGAATTTTCTTTAAAGCAATGTTCCTGTTTTTATAGGAAATATAAAACGTAAGTATCGACATAAGTTCCCTAAGATAGAGCTGTTAGTAGTTGCCACTGGAGAATCACTGGAGAATTCCAGAGTACTGGGCTTCATCAAGTTTCTCAGCCTCATATCCCCACTTCAATGGCACACAGAAGAATTCTAGACCCTTTCTAGAATAATTAGGAAATAATTGTCAATACTGCTTCAACCATATTAACATACTTAGGGTACCGAAGATGGAGATATTTCCAACATTCGATAAGGTGACACAGTTGACTTTTTGGTACCAAGGAAGTCTATCAAGAAAGTTCATTTAATATATCATGGGCTTGGATACTAAGAGGTATGTTGTACACAGCCAACAGCTTGGGTTTACCTTGTGAAACTTCTGACTTTGCTTTCTCTTTTAACAGTAGATTCTCAAACTTGTTTTGAAGCCTCTTTCACTGCTTTAAAATAAGTTTTCTATTTGGCATGGAAATACAGAAGCCCAACCCATTTGCAGAATGAACTGAATGGGCTGGGACTTAGCTATCTGGCTGCTACTTTGATTTCCACTTTAAGTTGCCTCTCAGTAAGACTCCTGAAATTCATGGACTGAATTATCCATGTTATCAATAGCAGGGAATTGCAGAAGTAAGGTAGCAGGAACTATTTGGGGTCAGAGAAATATCCTTTTGAATGAGCAAAGATGACTTCTTCTCTGTCTCTCCTGCCCCCTCTCCATGAAAAGGTTGGCATTTAAAAACAACCAAATTCACATGGTGGTAAAGTATTCGAATACTAATTCGACAGACATAAGTGTTGTCTTTGGTATACAATGTCCACTGCTTAAAAAAATGTTCAGATAAGAATGCACCTTTCTCTGTTCACATGAAACAAAGAAAAGTGCAAATCACAAAACTTACAATAGATTTTAAATAAACAATATTTAGGATTATGAAAATGTATAAACATTTAATCAAAAAACTGATTTTAGACTGAAAAGACCCTTGAGTATCCCTGAACTATGAACTATGAGTTGAAGACATGCTGTAATAAACACATATATTTGGCTTCTTTATTCTGCCTATATTTTCATATAAAGATGAAACTGAGGAACAATAAATTAGCATCATAATTGTCTACAATGAAAATGGTGTTATACAATATAAATAAACTATTTAAAAGCCAGCAATCTTCATGAAAACAAATGAACAAACAAACAAAGCTTGTGGATTAGAAGTTTGATACAATTTCTACAAGTGATTGTACAGCCAATAATCCAACAGAAAAATAAAGCAATTAACACATAAATGAGATTCCCTTTTTGATTTTAGTGTCTCACGACATACAGTAATTAAGTACTGGTAAAGCTAGTTACCAATCTAGAAAGCAACATTAAGGAAATCACGGTTTTGCAACATTATCATGGGATCCCCCCTCCCACCAGGACCTCACAAATGTAAACACAATAATTTTTTTTATTTTCTTCAAAACTGTAAAGTATTAATACTTCCACCCCAAACATATATTGATCCACATTTGTACAGTTACCATTCAGAATTCTGAAATAAGGCAAAGCTTTTATTACGGTGGCATATTTTATAATACTGATAAGTTCATTTTGGATAGAATTATTTGTCCTTCTCTGATATTTGTTCTGCAGCAGACTTTGGTTTACATAGACTTGGCAGTATCACTCTTCATTTAGCACACCAAAGGTTTTTGCTTGAATCATTGTTTTAAACTGTGTTTTCTGTTTCCAAAGGATATACAAAAATGATGCCGATTTTCAAACTACAACTAATATGAACCATCTGCTTGATTTCATCAGCTGATCTATTTGTATCAATAGGACTAACTTGTTATTGCCTTTCAAGAAATCTGACCCCAAAGTAAGATAAAGCTGAAGAATGTGGCTTTCTGAATGGACAAGGTGAAACAGGAAAGAGAATGTGTGATTGTATTACTTGGTGTTTTGCCTTCTTGCATAAGGGTAGGCCTGGATCTTTCAAAAATACATCAAGAATGTGAGGCTGAGAAGGAGAAACAGAGATATGTTTCTGTTATCTCTGATCAAGGCAGATCAAGGCAGAATGAAGAAATCAGGTTATAGTGAGGGCATAAATGGATACATGTTAGGACCAAACTAGCATCTTTGATCATGCCTAGATTCAGGATAAATTCTGAAAAAAGTGTGTTGAAAGCCAGATCTAGCTTCTGCACTTAGCACCCTTAATCATCTTCCAGTTCTCAGTGCCTCAGCAGGACCTGTATATTGTTGGCTATTTTAAATTTCTCACAATGCCTCTTCCTCCCATTCTTCCCAGAAAAGTTAATTGAAATTTAATATCATGCCCCTTCCATTGCCAAAAGTTAAGCTTTGAGCCCAGGGCCTGCTAAAATAAGAGAAGAGCCCTAGGAGAACAATCTGAGGATGGTCCCCTTAAATCTGAAAGTGCCTTCTCCTGACATTCTTTTTTTTTCAAGCCCCAGTTCTGGTTAGCTGTCAGGACCTGGTTTCATTAGTCAGACAGTCAATGTGAATTCAGCCTACTGACTAGCATGGCCATCTAGATACCTTTTGTTCTTTGCTATGTAGATCGAGCAGGAAAACCAGGAGGCTGATTATGATTATACAGGGGTACAGCAGTGGCTGTCTTTGACCTGAAGACTCCAAAGTCATGCTAGCCTGCTCTTGAGCTGCGTGTGCAGATGGTTCATGAATAACCCCCAACTGAGAAACATGTGGGAAAAGAAAGGTCGCAGCGAAGATAGACAGTGGGATATGATTTGAATTCACTAACCTGGTTTCTCTGAAATCCAAGTACTAGACTGGCGATTAAGTGTGACAAGTAAAGAGATGCTACTGCTTGAAGTAATGTTTTATTTTAGGCAGTGGTCAAATAGTAGCCACAAGGTGATCTGGCTCTAAAAGCTTTGAGAAGCCATTCCAGTAATGTTTGAGTTGAGCCTGGAATTAAGGTCCCCTATCGATTGCTCTGGAGCAGCTTACGTCCAATACTTGGTCACTGGTGGAAGAGGGATACTGCCTAGCTGAACAACATGAACACAATGACAAAAGCAACCTTAGAAAACATATTAAGAATGTCACACTAACCTTATGAACAAAATTATTTTCTCATGTTTGTTATCTGCAGGTCAGAGTCACAGACTGACAAAAATCCAGGCTGTATTTATTTGCTTGCTTGTGACACTATTCTCTCTGTGTGTGTGTGTGTGTGTGTGTGGCCTACTCCAGATTTTTTAATATAGATGGGCGCCACACATTCCTTTTGGAAGGAGAAATAAGAATTCAGTCTTTGGAAAGATGACACAGGGAAACTGCAGTGTTGCTTCCTTCCTTTAGAGGTGTTTTCAGTCCTGCTAAACAGTGAAGGGTTGTAGTGCATGCAGATCCCCTTGATCTGTTAGCTGAAGAACACAGATAAAACTTGTTCCTAAATTTCTCCATAGTGGTAACTGGAAAAGTTTTTTTTTTTTTTAACTTATAAGAATTGTTCTTTCCTTTCCTTTCCTTTTTTTTTTTTTGCCTTGATTGACACTGATGATGGTAGCCTTTCCACTTGTAAATCTCCTTTCATTCCAGTGATAAAGTCCTATACAAGTTCCTTTGGGGAGACTGTGTAGCATTTGATTCACAGTTGGCAATGCAGATACCCTGATACATCACTTATTTACTATTAAGTATTTGATTATTATAACATTAATTTTTTTTGCAAAGTTTCTTTAAACCAAGTTATTTCAATTAGTGTCACTTGGAGAACTTCAGAGTATTTTTTTTTTCTTTTTTGAAAAGCAGAAGCTGTATCAAAGGCTATAATTTATGCTCTCTTTGCATGCAGCATTTCAATGAGAAGGTTATTACATGGCACATCCCCATTTAGGTGTTTGTAGTAGAGGTACTCTTCAGCCTGCATACTGATCGCCCGGATTTCTGGGAGTCGCAGGAGAAGCTGCCCAAATTTGTCTGTCTGCTGTGGATAGTTGCACATGGTATAGTCCAGCAAAGCAGCATTCACTTGTTCTTGGACACCTTCCACCAGCTGGAAGTTCTCTAGATTTTTGACATCTGAGTTAAAAAAAAAAAAAAAAAAAAGATTATGATCATGGCATTTTTAGATTATTAAAGTGGTATCTCCCTAATATGTTTTTCTCTGGATAAACAAATGGTTTTCATGCTCCTGAACGTTCAGTTGAATCCCTCTGCCAAGTTTCTTGAGGGAAAAGTGGTCACGGCCTAGCTTTAGAACGCTGGGTTGAAATTCTGCATACAGCTTAGATCAGTTAGATACCAATGGGTTTTGAACAAGGTCAACTCTTTCTTTTCCATGTATCTTACTGAGAAAAAGGTTGAAGATGCCTAACATTCAGAACTGTAATATATAGTCAGCAAATGAGTCCCCTGAGAGGAAGGCGTAGCTTTAACCCGACATATTACACAATTCATATAATTCTGTATTAATTCTTCTGATCCAAGGTGAAATCTCTGTCTATGGTATGCTGTAGTTAATTCTAATAAAAAATGACAGGCTTCTTGTTTCTTTTTGACATTTTTCTAAATTATTCTGAAAGACTTTGACTTGTCCATCCTTATGCTAATGAACCATCTGGAACATTCCAGTGACTGCCAAAATAACCTGCCTGACCCACAAATGTGTGTGTGTGTGTCTGTTTCTGAATTCCAGAACTGTTGCCCTTTAGGCAAATTGAGAAGAGCATTTAATAGTTTTTGGGTATGGATAAATTCCTTCTTCCTACTGGATGGCTTTAACTTCTTTAGTTAAGTTCTTCTTAACTTCTTCTTAAGTTAGACTCAGGATGTGGAATAGTTTGCAAATATTTTCATTTATTATATTTATTCCTCCACTTCACTATCAACAACTCTAAACTCCTGGAATAAAGTGATACCCAGAAGGTCTTTCCCTTATCAACTCATGGCTCTCCTAGCCGGCCTTCACTCTAGGACTTCTTAGAGCTTGTAATATCCTCAAGTAGAATTCTGGAACTCACTAAGGCATAATCTTTGTCTAACAGAGTAAGACTGGCAGTCCTACATACAAGTAGATTCTCTCCTACATGTTTAATTTCCAGACAGGACTTTGGGGCACAAATCTAGGGCCCTGTTCAAGTGCACCTCTTTCAGTTTTCTTTTTGACTCAGCACCATCTCCTTTACTATCTTTGGCCATGAAATGACAGGTAAATCCATCCCTTAGTAACATTTCATTAGAAGTAGAGCAAGAGTGAGTTTGATGTGGGCACCAGGCTAGAAACCAGGAGGCTGTGAATTCGGGCTCTGCCTTAGACATGGAAGTCAGCTGGGTAATTTTGATCCAGTCACTCTTTCCCAGCCCTAGAAAGGAGGCAATGGCAAACCACTTCCAAAAATGTTGCTAAGAAAACTTCAAGGACTAGTGCGGACAGTTGCTGGGAGTCAATGCTGACTTGAAGGCATGAAAGAAAAAAAAAAGATGTATAGTATGCAACTGAAAGCATTTTTATACATCTGCGGGGTTGTATGATCCATGTAAAAATGATACATTCAGGTATATATTTCTTGACTGTGTATTAAAGAAAGTCACTTTGGACAAATCTCCCTATTTGGGTGTCGGGGTTAGGTTTATCAAAAAGAAACCAAATATTTTTCCATTGCATCTGGTAATATGATGCAATTCTTGTGAATGTTGCCCAGCTTCCTCCATTTGAATCGGTAAAACCATATTTCTTTTATTATGTTAAATTTACTACATGATGCATTCGTAAATTTTAACAGCCAATCCCTATATGTGCTTCAGCCCATAGCAGACTCCTTCAAAACAATGAAATATGCATGTATAAAGATGGCATCGAACTTATGACAGAGGTTTTGGATCTGGAAGGGTCTTTCATTCGTAAAGCATTCCATGCCTTGAAGGTCGTGTTACTAGAATTCAAGCAAAACCCATTTGCTCTATAGCAATTGGTAAATAAATGAAGAGGCAAAATCAACTCTAGGAAGAAAAAAGCACCCTCTTATCAGTCCTAGAGAGATCATGCACTCCAACACTGGATGAGTACTCAGTTGCAAAGTCCTAAGATCCTATTTTATATTGGAATTTATCCATAATTTTGCATTGAAAATGCGTGGCTTTTTAAAAAAATGCCTTCTGATTTTTTTAAAGCAAAGTAATTAAAAAAAAACATTTTGGCAAGACTAACACTGAAAGGAAAATATTAAATAGACGGTGCTTCTGAAAGAATGTTTGGTGGCTCTTACACAGCTTACCTTTAAAGCAAAACTCATACTAAGATGAGTTATTAAACTACTTGAATAATGCCTTGCCACGCATTAAACTGTAGATTAAATGATCTTAATTAAACGATGTGATTATATGGTAAAAGGTAAGAAATTGGATAACAAAAAATCTTGTTTTATTGAGGCTTTAAAATGTCTTTTAGGTGCACCTACTGCTGCAGAGAGCTTTGATTTATTTACAGAAAATTATTTACCTTCTGGGAGAAAACAGCCTCTGTGAAAACATAATGGCAAATCTTGAAAAAATACAATTCATTGTCAGTAGGACTCTTTTGGGGTCAGCACTGCCCTGAAATCAAATCTGTTCCTTTAACAAAGCAATCCTGGGAACTTAGAGCACATTTTCTTCTGCGTCCAAGTGTTTGGTAGATGGAGGCAGAGATCTGAGAATCCATGTGTTATGCATAATCTAAGAAATCAGCATTTTCAAGTTCTGAGAGGCTTGCATAAAAAAAAAAGAAAAAAAAGAAAGAAAATAGGCTCCTTCTTGCTGTATACTCTTTCAGTTCTAAGTACAAGAAAGGGAAAAATAGTATCAACCTCTTATCTCTTCCACTTTATTCACTCAGGGACTAATTACCAATTTTTAATATGAAACAGTCTTACCGCATGTTCACAGTGGGACGCATCTCTTTTCCCATCCTTACAGGAGAGTAAACCCTGAAGTCTTGTAGAATATATTGTATTTTTGCAAGCTCTTGCAATAGTATCTTTGTCAAACAGAGAATATATCTTTTTATAATTTACTTCTAAAGATCAAGTTTTTTAAAAAACTAAAAGTGCCATTCTTAGCTCTGCAGTCACTCTAAAAGTCTGCCAGCATCTCCTTAAAATTCCTATTTCTCACAGGTTATCCCATCATCACAAAATAAAGATGCTTAGCTCAAAGTCTGCATATTGAATAAGTCTAGAAAAGAGTATGTTCCCATTTTTGTAAAAACACAATGGGTCTTGGCCTTCAGAGAAGAAAAATATTTAGGTTACACAGACGCTTCCTTTTCTCATATTTGAGGAGCTGAAATTCAGTGCAGAATTAATTGATGGAAAATGCATGTAGTTTGGGAATTCTGAAGAGGGAAACTAAAATTAAATGGCAGTTATATTTTGAAAAGTGGTTGCTGTGCAAAAGCTAAGTAAGTAGTTTCCAAAGAAAAACAACTATACTCATTGCACAACTTGGATATCTGACTGCTATGCTCAAGGAACCCCGAGGTTTTCATGCTCAGTTATACTGGTGTGTAATTAAAAGATGAAATGCTGGTGGCTTCTAAGAAATTGGTGTCTTGTTTTATATCATTACAGTATTTAGAAGACTGATATGCCACTGTCCTCTTAAAAGAATGGCACAACTTACAAAGGTAAAATAAAAACACACTGAGAATTACGGGGAAAAAATGCTGGTTAATAAAGCATAACACTAAAACGAACATTAGAAAGCCTGACAAAATAAAGATTTTGATTCTCCTCTTAAACTATAATAAGAAGGAGACTTCTTTACAATCTAGGGGGAGTTGGTTGGATAATATGGGCCCTGCGACAAGAAAGCAGAAATGATCATTGACACAACATGAACCTACAGCAAGGGCCAGTCTGGTGTAGTAGTTAAGATACAATGCTAGAAACCAGGAGACTATGAGTTCTAGCTCCACCTTAGGCATTAAGCCATCTGGGTGACCTTGAGCCAGTCACTCTCTCTCAGCCCTAGGAAGGAGGCAATGGCAGATCACTTCTGAAAAATCTTGCCAAGAAAAGTGCAGGGACTAGTCCAGGCAGTCACCAGGAGACTGACTCAAAGGCACAAACATATATGAATGCATGTCTTGCTAATGAGCCAAGAGTGTGGGATGGACCATATAGTAACATACAAACAAACCTGTAAAGCTTTTGTGAACACTTTGAACTGGGAATTGGAGGGCAACCATGAAGCTGTTTCAACGTGGGGGAGTGTGGAACCTCGAAGAAGCACCACTCAACAACACTGCTGCCACATCCTGGACCACTTGCAGTTTCTAGACTATCTTTCAGGACTGTTCTATGCCATAGTCACTCTTGAGATTATCAGCAAACGAATAACCAGTTCTGAGCTCTGAGGTTACCAACACATGACTACTCAGCACATGAGCATCAAAGCCAGGCCTCTCTTTTGGGTAAGGACACATCTGATTTATCAACCAAATTGACAAAAGCACTCCACCACAGATATTACATGGCCAGAATATAGCCAAATATTTCAGGACAACATCTTTAGGAAAGACACTGCAACCATAAAGGATGTCCTGGTGCAATCTGGCCTTTCCCCTGAGTGCAAATGTACCACTCAGAGAACAAAAGAAGACATGGTTTTGTACAAGATTTGCATGAACTAACTCATATGCATAGATGCAAATTTAGAAAATATTTAAATAGTCACACCATGATACGGTGCTCAGTCAGCCTGCTGTCCAAATACAATTGTTGATGTGCAGCTTCAAGGGCCCTGCTCTCCCTCTTAAGCTGCTTTATCTTTAAAATTGGATTGTAAAGGGAGGGCACCCTGTAAATAGAAGATGCCTTCAAACAGAGAATGGTCATCTGGTAACTAGGACCCACAGTTCTCCTGTATGTTGCTGCTGTTGCTCCTATGAGATAATTCCCACACAAAGGAGCGGTGACACTGACACAAGTAAACAATTTTCATACAATAGCCTTTGGGAGGCTTATATTTCAGATACAGGTAGTCCTTGTGTTACGATGGCAATTGGGACTGGGATTGCCATCGCTAAGTGATGCAGCCAT